ACTTCCCATTCTTACAAAGGAAAAACAGCTCCACCCCACCCCACCCTCTTTATTTCTGCACATACATACATAATGGAATATTGGTCAGGAAGGGTTTTGCTTAGCATAAAAGATTTATGGTATATGGAGAAACTGAAGTTAGGAGTACAACTTTTGTACTTGTAAGAAAGTATTTTTGAAACTGCATTTGCATAAAAGAAAACAAAGCTAAGCTTTATTTAAGAAACAACACCATGAGGAGAAAGCCTAAATCACTTACCTATAGCTAAGCATCTGTAGCACGTTCTCTTCTATTAGAGAGAGAAAAAAATTAAGAACCTGAACAGCGCCAGTCAAACTCAGAAGAAAAAGATAACTAGAGGAGAAAAAAGAAATGACAGGCAACAGAATCTCAGTGTCATTAATAAGAGTCATGATGTTTTAGACTAGGAAAACCAATTTTCTAGAGAAAGAAAGAATCCCTCAAACTCTCTCTACATTAGCCCCTTTGTCAATAGATTTATAGGTTTAAAAAGCTAATGTATGTCAAGTTAATTTTCAACAAGTGATTCATGCATGATGACTATAAAGTGTGCTCCTATGGAGTGGTTTATGGTTAAGTGTGCAGTAAATACTTAACCAATTGCTATTTATATGTTTATTTATAGTGTAGTACATTAGCATACCCTTTCCAATTTTACAAGTCTCATTGCAATTTACAAAAGAAAAAAAACGGTAGATGAAAGCAATCAATAAAACATGCATTAATTTTTATATATTATATAAAATATATATAAAATTATTATATAAAATACACACAGATAATAAAATATTATAGCAAAGTAATTCTCCAAGTTTGGTCTGCAGACTGTTGGAGATGCATAATGCTCCAGAGGTAATTTGCTACAACTTCACACATTCAACAGCCTCAGCAGATTGTCTCAGCACATCTCCAAATGAGTGTTGCTAGAAATGGTAAAGCAGGACTGAAGGCAAGTGGGTCTCTGGCCAATGAACTGCTAGTGCAGGGGTGGGCAATTATGGCTCTTTTACAACCTGTGGACTTCAACTCCCAGAATTCCAGAGACAGCTTGGCTGTCTCAGGAATTCTGGGAGTTGAAGTCCACAGGTTGTAAAAGAGCCACAATTGTCCACTCCTGTGCTAGTGCATATCTAATAGTCTGGTCAGAAAAGGCTGACTTGAGCCTATTTGCTGACTCAGCCCCCACCTGAAGTGATAAATACTTAATCTGGAATTGCATTTTGATTTTGAGGTTAGTTTAAAGGGGCTTTTAAAACTGATGAGATGGGAAGGGATACAAATGCAACTCTGCATATGTGTATACACACACACATATCCTCCCACTTATGACTGCATGACTGTAACTTTGTTGCTTGTCTCCTTACGATTTATATTGATGTTTTTTCCTAGTATGATTTGATTGCTTATTTGTACCCCATGACTATCATTAAGTGTTGTACCTTATGATTTTTGACGAATGTATTTTGTCTTTTTATGTACACTGAGAGCATATGCACCAAAGACAAATTCCTTGTGTGTCCAATCACACTTGGCCAATAAAAAATTCTATTCTATTCTATTCTATTCTATTCTATTCTATTCTATTCTATTCATATATAGAGAGGGGGGGAAGGGAAGGAGAGAGAGAGAGGGAGAGAGAGAGAGTCTTGAGAAGTGCTGACTTAAAAAATAATAGGAGCAGTAAGAACTTGAAAATATAAGAACAGCATTATACATTATTTAAAGGTCTCCAAAAATAAAAATGCTTTACCTGGCTTAAAAAAGACGATGTGAGATGTACCTCACTGGCGACAGCATTCCAATGTCAGGAAGCCAACACTGAAAAGTCTGCTCCTGAGTACCCATTCAGTTAATTAACTGATTAACTGAAGAATCACTCATGGCATACTCCATAGTAGGATACTCAGAAAATGCCCTCCAAAGATGACTTTAAGATATAAGTGGGATTATATGAAAATAGCAGACCTTCAGAAATTCCACTCCCTCACAGTACAAGGTCTTTACAATTAATACCAGCACTCTGAATTGAGACTGGAAAAAAACTGGGTGTCAGTAAAAATAGTAAGTGATATAAGTTCATATTGCATTCTTGCAATTTTTGTACAAACTAATTTCTGAACTATCATTGATCAACATTCTGAAATAAATTACCGGGGAAGGGTTTATTCAAATTAGGTCATAGCTGATGTACCAGTTTATGTTAGATAAAGATGTTTCTTGCCAAAGAGGCCAGTTACTTAGCTTATTACTCAAACCAGGTTCTTGTGCAGCAATTTTATTGCCTCATCTAAATCCAAGGTTTAAAAAAAAGGTCAATCTGGATGTCATCATCATACTAACACTTTACTCTAAATCTTGAAATCATCTCACTCAGTGGTTTCATGTAGCTGTTGGACAGAATGAGGGATAAAACAGGGGTGGGTTTCAGCAGGTTCTGACCAGTTCTGGAGAACTGGTAGCGGAAATTTTGAGTAGTTTGGAGAACCGGTAGTAAAAATTCTGACTGGCCCTGCCCCATCTATTCTCTGCCTCCCAAGTCCCAGCTGATGGGGAGGAAATGGGGATTTTGCAGTATCCTTCCCCTGCCATGCCCACCAAGCCATGCCCTCCAAGCCATGCCACACCCACTAAGCCACACCCACAGAACCGGTAGTAAAAAAAATTGAAACCCACCACTGGATAACACAGAACTCTGCATAACTCCACAACATAAATGCCATGTAGTTTAACATAAATACCTACTGGTTCTCAACCAAACTCTTTGGAAAATGCTCCAGAACTTCTTGAATCCATTGAAATCAATCATCCTCCATAGGCAGATGACTCTAATACATACACACACTTAATTGCAGAAAGAAACAGTTGCAGCAAATCATTTAAATCTCAACCACAAGTGATGTAACGATTGACAAAACAACAGATGCAACAGACAATATCTTCAGACATTCCCAGTAAGGGGAAAAAAATAGTCCAAAACATGACCTGCTACAGGTGACCCACAATTGACATACCAGCTTGAACATTCCTGCATCCAGTCCTAGACTGGATGCTAAAGTTACCCAGAATTAACATTTTAGAAGATGACCCCCCACCAGTTCATAAAGGGAGACTGTTGGTGGCAGGCAGGCTGGGTGGGTACAATCGCCAGTCCATATGCCCCACCCAAAGATTAAACACCATTGAAAGAGTAGAGAGAGAGTACAAGCTACAGCAACTCTTCCTGCCCAATTACTGACTGAGCGACTGGCCCAAGGCAACTTAGCTGGTTTTGTGCCTGAGATGGGACTAGAACTCATAGTCTACAAGTTTTTAGTCTGATATCACCACACCAAAGCCAGTCACTATTTCTCAACCTTAGGAAGAAGCAATGGCAAATCACTTTGGAAATCTTCCTAAGAAAATTGTGGGGACTAATCCTGGCAATCACCAGGAGTCAGCACTGACTCAAAGGCACTAAAAGAGTTAAAGAGATTCAGAAAAAAAAAGAAAGTGTAACCTCTTAGGGCTAGTGCAACAACAACTAGTGCAACAACAACTTTTGTACATTATTCCTCACTTCACATTTAAATGGCAAAACAGAGTATATGATAAGGCTTTCAGAAAGTCTCAGGTCAGCAGTGCCATTTTTTTTCTTTTGATCTCTGTCAACACAGAAATTATTGACACAATTAGGTTGTTACATTTGTCAACAGAAAAGTGCATTTCCAAGAAACAGCAAACTAATGGCAGTAATACTCCATGAATCATCTCATATTAAAAATAATTTCTGAATACACATTAATTCAATATAAAATGCCAGCAAGCTAATATGCTTTGCTCATTTTACTCAGTATCAATATAGGGGAACTACCTGTTCAGGTTACTGAAGCTCTGTTCTTGTCCCTAATCAGAAAGGTCAAAACTTTAGGATAACTTTCCCTAGCCTAAGGTTTTTCCACCTTCGCCAATCAGCACGATCATTACAGTGTTACTGAAAGCAGGACAAACCTGTTTTTAGAGCGCAGAAAGAAAAAGAAAGAAAAGAGGCAATTAAATACTGATATCATGCATAGCAGGGTTCTCCAACCTTGGCAACTTTAAGATTTGTGGACTTCAACTCCCAGAGTTCCTCAGCCAGCAAAGCTGAAGTCCACAAGTCTTAAAGTTGCCAAAATTGGAGACCCCTGGTCCACAGTGTAACCATTTTTAATTTCCAAGTTTCCTACAATTACAAATGTTCACTGTGCTAATATTATAAGGACAATCTACTCCAATCTACACTAGATGCTGTTTTAGGACCTCTTTCCAGAGCACGATACCATAGTCTCTTGAGACTGAAGGATGCCAATGATGAATCTACCCCATGAGAGGAACATCAGACCAACCTTTTCTTGGATGACCTTCTGGCTAGTAGATAATAAGTGTTATAAACATATCCAGAGAACATTACTGTATAGTGGAAATCATTGGTTTAGATAATCTTGCATTTCACACCTAATCACAACACAAATACATGTCTAATCTTATGCATATGACGCACATTAAACTATCTATTCAAGCACATAAATAATTCGGTGTACTTAATTCATATACTGCCCTCAGTATAATATAATGGGAAGGGAGAAAAGTTTCAACGCAATATGTACTGGAAATGCGGTCATGAGAGCTTTTTCAATAGGACATGTATTCACAATTGGTGAACCCAGCAATATTTAAAACGGAACTGAACTCTGACAAATCCTGTGGATGATACTTATTCTGCCTTTTTTTTTTTTTAATGGGACCATCTTTTCCTGACATGAATGTCGTGCCTTAGCTACTGTATGGTCGGTAGAAACTCCGCAAGTGTCGTTTTTCCAAAGACCCGGGGACTAAATGGCGCGCAGCAAAGTTCCCCAGTTGTTACAAAACTTCTCACCGGGTCAACGAGCTGAAGAAACCCGGGTACTTTTATGACGTCGGCAGAGGAAAAGTTAAGCCAGCCTCGCCAGCCACTCACCAAGAAGTGCTAAAGGGATCTTTCCTTTCCATGGTTTTAGTCCACGGCTTGTGCCACGTGATGCTTTGAGCGGCTTCGGCCCAAAGTTGATCCGGCTCCTCCACCGACTTCTTGAAAACTCTGCCATAGTCACCTGCGGCTGGCGCGGCTGCCTGGGAGACGAAAGTGCTGGCTACGTGAAGGGGGCGAGTTTGAGGAATCCCCCCTACCCAGGAGCTCGGAAAACGCCCCGGAGGAAGCGCTTTGCCTGCCTGTGTGACACACCCGAGCCCGCCGGTCGATCCTCGATAGACGCGGCGGCTACAGCGCACAATTTTCTGCAGCAAAGTCCTTTTGCCCTGAACTACCATGTTCCCTGGAGACGCCCGGTCCCGTCCTGTCAGCAGGCGGGTGTCTATGTGTACAACTAAAGGAAGACCGCCCCCTTCAGTAAAACTAAAAATATACAAGTTTTTTCTCCGAGTCAACACAAAAAGTGGAGCTGGATTGCTGAACGTGGAAAGCCGCTCGTTGATCTTAGTTTTGCAAATCACAGATTTACAGTGATTTGCAAAAATCCAGTCCGAGCTTTGTTCTTACTTCCCAAATCCACCCCCTTGTTTGTTGAAAAAAAGGCAATGGTTGCATTGCATAATCTCGCACCTTCGTTCCTCTTTCAGGCGGTCCCAATGTGGCTTCAGCCTTCAAGATTTTTCTTGTTGCAGATTCTGCTAGTTTTTATTTGTCCTTCAGGTTTATCTAGATTGTACTTCCATTAATTTAGAAAAATCCACTGTTTTAATCCTGATTTGGATAAGAATCTCAGAATACAGGTAGTCCTCGACTTACAAAAGTTCACTTAGTGATCATTCGAAGTTACAACGGCACTGAAAAAGGTGACATGACCAATTTTCTGATTGATGACTGTTGCAGCATCCCCATGGTCACATGATTTACATTCAGATGCTTGACAACTGACTCACGTTTATGACGGTTGCAGTGTCCCGGGGTCATGTGATCATCCTTTGAGATCTTCTGACAAACAAAGTCAATGGGGAAACCAGATTCACTTAACAACTGGGTTACTAATTTAACAACTGCAGTGATTCGCTTAACAAATGTGGCAAGAAAAGTCATAAATGGGGCAAAATTTCTCACTTAGCAACATAAATTTTGGGCTCAGTTGTGGTGTAAATTGAGGACTACCTGTAGTCATTCTGTTTTTCAGTGACTAAGAGCTTCTACTGCATTCTTTTTAAAATACATTACTATTAGCAGTACATTAGCATTCCTGGAATATGCCTACAGATTACGTTTTAAAGAAGCTGTATACTTCCTGATTTGAAAAGCAGGGGCAAAGTATTATGCTATATTAAATGATAATTAGGATTCAATTTACATTGGACACAGATCAAAGCAACCTTTGCTCAGAATAAACAAAGTCTTAAGACTGAGTTTTGCCTATTGGTAGGCAGCTGAGAAGTGAAATATGTACTGGTCTTTCAGGGCCAAATTACCAACACTGAATACTTTGAAATTGCTTGAAGTATTCTGTGGAGAACAATGTGTGACTTTACCCACACAAAAAAGGATTTTATTATTTAGGTGGATGTTGGTGGTGTCAGAGTTTACAATTGCTTAAAGGTCTGAACAAGAGGAATAAGAAAAGCCCTGTGACTGGCAACACCAAAAAACCATACCAGTCCATTCTTCCTCTCCCTATCACATAGAACCGTGATGGTGAACCTATGGCACGGGTGCCACAAGTGGCATGCGGAGCCATACTGGTGGGCATGCAAGTGTTGCCCTAGCTCAGCTCCAGCGCGCATGCGCACACCAGCCAATTGATTTTCAGGCCTTCCAGTCCTACCGGAAGTTGGGAAACTGGCTGTTTCTGGCCTTTGGAAGGCCTCCGGGGGGATGGGGAAGGCTGTTTTTGCCCTCCCCAGGCTCCTAGAAAGCCTATGGAGCCTGGGGAGGGGAAAAACGGGCCCACCGGGCCATCGCGTGCCAAAAGCAGGGGGAAGTATGGGGGGGTCACGTGCACATGTGTGGGAGGGCGGGGCACATTGAATTATGGATGTGGGTACCCACACCCATGATCCCCCCCGCTTTCCCTGCTTTTGGCACGCGACGGCAAAAAGGTTAGCCATCACTGACATAGAACCTCTCCTCCCACTTGCTATAATCTTGAATGTGGATTTCCATCTGGAAATCTGCAAATGGAAGAGATTATTTATTATTTATTTAGCATATGGCCGTGATGGCGAACCTATGGCACGTGTGCCACAGGTGGCACGCATAGCCATATCAGTGGGCACACCAGCTCAACTCTGGCGCGCATGTGCCCACTGGTCACCTGATTTTCGGGCCTTCTGGACCCACCAGAAGTAGGGAAACAGGATGTTTCCTGCCTCTGGAGGGTCTGGGTGGGGGTGGGGAAGGCCCATTTTTCTTTCTCACCTGGCTCCAGAGCCTCTCTGTGCATCTGGGGAGGGCGAAAAGAGAGACTCTGGAGGCTGGGGACAGCAGAAAATGTCACTTCCTGTCCAATCAGGAGTTGGGAAATGGGCCATTTCAGGCCTCCGGAGGGCCTCCGAGGGGTTGGGGAAGGCTGTTTTCGCCCTCTCCAGATGCATAGAGAGGATCTGGAGCCAGGTGGGAAAGAAAAACGGGCCTACCGGGCCATCATGTGCCAGGAGCGGGGGGGAGGGGGGTTGCGCACGCAGGGCAGGGCGCATAAAATTATGAGTGTGGGCATGCACGTGCGCGAATCTCCCCCACCCCACCCCCTCCTGGCACGCGATGGCAAAAAGGTTAGCCATCACTGGCATATGGTGTACAAGGTCAGAGAGTCTACAATGTTTACACAAGGCAGAAGTTCTGGCAGCCAACAGTCTCTGGTGCCTTTATTGCACTGGCATTCTACCAGAGGTTAGAGAATTAGCTCTGCGCCAGCTGGCCAGCAACACTGTTGAGGGAGTTGATCGCCTGGGGATTTCTTCCACCAGTCTTCCATCAATCGCATCCAGACAAATCCAGTGCTGGTTCCTGCACAGAATGCATTTCCCACCATCAAAATGGTGGCACCTATTTACTTGCAGAGGGTATGTTTTCAAACTCCTAGGGGGGCAGGAGCTAGGAACAAGTGACGGGAGCTCACTCCATCCCATGGATCATTTCTGACCAACAAATCCAGTGTCATTAAGCCATTGTGCCACCACGTCCTCTAATAGAAGAGATCACTAAGAATATAAAAATAAACCAGCACAACCATTGTCATTGTATGCACAAAAATGGCAGAAACGTATCCTCTTCAAATACACTTTATAAACTCAATATGGACTACATCAAAGGATATTTAATGATTTAAATTAAAAATCCAATTCTAACATCAGTCACCAAACAAATACCAGATACTTGGTTATATTTCATAAATGAGTTGGGGAAAAATATGGATGGTGAATGTTACAATAAATATTTTGGCATGCATATTATGTTACAACATATTATACGTCTGATAGGTCTCTCTCTGCTTTGATATTATTTTAATGTAAATGGCACAGAACAGAGGAGTGTAGTAAAATTAAATTATTCATTATAAACCTGCAATAATATAGATGCCAATAGGTCTATAAAAGTTCCATAGTATTGTACTTAACTGGAAAGTTATCGGGGATTTTTTCTATGAGTATAATATAACATTAAACTTAGATCTTTTAATTTAAATTGTATAAAATCATTTGATAAGATCCAGGTTGAGTTTATAAAGTGTGTTTGAAGAGGATGGTTTTCTGCCATTTTTGTACATGGCATTAAATTTTAGTATTTTACTTGTAGGAGAAGTATTACAAAAGAATTTAGTTCTGAATCTATCAAGTGATATTGTGATACCTATCTGAGATTCTTGCCTTCTCTAATTTTGAACTTTGTTCTTAAATCATTAGGCAGACTCAAGATAGTAAAGTTGTTGCAAGAGTGGATAACAAATATACAATCTCTATATTATGATATTATAGCTACATTTTGGATAACTATTTAACATGACCAAAGCTTACTGCAGCTGTGCAGCAATATCATTTATATTCTGGTTATCCTCTTCCCATTGGGATGAATTAGAGCAACAGAATGAACCTCTAATTTCACTAGCTTCTCTGTATGAAGTTGCTGCTGTTCCCTTAGCAAACATACTTCTTATAAAGGAGGACAGGATGTGAAATCATAAATGAAAATATAACAGATTATCTATTCAGGAAACATTTATTGACTGCACAGACTGTAAGCTCAATTTTCAATATTCAAGCATTTAACTTCAATGAATAAAAGGACCTGTGTCTTTCATTTGCTCAAATGCATAGATAAATTAGCAGAATTTGCAGAAATTCTAAATATCCATAAGAATGTAGTGCAAAGCTGGACAAATATTCTAATTCCAGTCTTCATAAAAGGAATATTTGAGTACAGAGAGTCCCCAGCATTACACATTGTAAGCATATCCCTACTGTATGGATAATCATACAGTATATTTCAAACTAAAATGATAGGATACCTAAGAATAATAATCTTATAATTCAAATTTATTTTACATATTATTAGAATATTATATACATATACACAGAGAGAGAGAGAATGTTGATAAAGTATTCTATTCTTTAGTCATCTCCATTTCTGATATAAATTGATTGATTTATTAATTACTGAATCACCTTCGAATATGCTAATATACAATTCATGCTATGCTATTTAAAATGAAACCATTTTGGAATATTTTTCAAATATTTCCACTTTGTCTATTTCACAGTTGGGGGGGGGAACACTTTTTTAAATTTATTTATCCTCAAAAAACCAGACTGTTCCTTTCGAGGACAATGTGCCAATTGATCATAACTGCAAGCATTCAATGGTGACATCGTTTCTGACAAGGTATAGTTTACATAACCATAGAAATAGCTACACAGTGTAAGATTACAGAAGTGGCCCTGGAAGCTGGGTTAATTAACTCCTTTGCCACAGGAAAGAAATAGTGAGAAGATCAGATGAATACAAACACTATTGATAACATGTAGCAATGGAACCATTGATTGATCTAATGCAGTGTTTCTCAACCTTGGTAGCTTGAAGATGGGTGGACTTCAACTCTCAGAATCCCCCAGCCAGCAGCGCTGGCTGGGTGATTCTGGAAGTTGAAGTCCACCCATCTTCAAGCTTCCAAGGTTGAGAAACACTGATCTAATGTCTTTAGACACCAGACAAAATATCAATAATAATAATAAAAAACAATACACATCTTCGCTACATCTTTGTGATATAACATAGCCAGAAAAGAAAAAACAAAACCAAAGGAAACTGTTACTTGTGCATTCCCCTGAAAAATAACTTTCAGTTAAAGAAGGGCTGATCTTGCAGTGGCCCAA